AGCCCAGGCTGTCCTTGAACTCACAGAGATCCGCCTGGCTCTGCCTCCCGAGTGCTGGGATTAAAGGCGTGCGCCACCACCGCCCGGCAGGAATCTCTTTCTTTAGGTTAAAGAATTTTCATACGATTTTGTTGAAAATATTTTCTGTGCTTTGACCTGGGTTTCTTCTCCTCCCTCTATTCCTATATTTTTTTAGATTTGGTCTTTTCATGGTGTCCCAGATTTCCTGGATGTTTTGTGGCAGGAATCTTTTAGATTTAACATTTTCTTTGACTGGGGTACCCATTTCTTTGTTGTGTTTTACATGCCTGAGAGTCTGTCTTCCATCTCTTGTATCCTGTTGGTGATGCTTGCCTCTGAGGTTCCTGTTCTGCTTCCTAAATTCTTCACTTCCAGATTTCCCTCAGTTTAGGTTTCCTTATTGAGTCTACTTCCACTTTTAGGTCTTGAACTGTTTTATTCCTTTCCTTCCAGTATTTGTGTTTTCATAGAGTTCTTTAAGGGGTTTATTACTCTTTAAGGACTCATCATATTCATAAAGGCTATTTTAAGGTCTTTTTCTTATGCTTCAGCTATGTTGGAATAGTCAGGGCCTGCTATGGTAGGGTTGCTGGCCTCTAGTGGAGACATATTGTCCCAGCTGTTAGTACCTTTTTATGCTGATTATCTAGGCATCTGACATTGGGAAGATTATAATTCTAGGTGCTTGTCTTTATCAGGTGAGTTCCTTGGTTTGTGTTGCCCTCTCTGGCTCTTAGGAGGTTAATGTGTTATCTGGTAGGGAATTATTCGGATAGGTGGGCTCCAGGTAAAATGTGATTCTGGGTATTGGGAGTTGGCACATAGGAATGAGGATAGCCTGGGCTGGGGGTCTGAGGGAGTCCACATGAGGGATAAAAGCAGGCTGTTCCACCAGAATCAGCTTAGCTCCCTGGAAATGGGAGCAGAGAGTGAGGAGAGGCCAAAGCAGAAGCTCTGCTACAAAGCTGGAGATGAGAACGAGGAACTGGATTTGGAGGGATGGAGGGAGAGGTGAAGATCTGCAACTAGCCTACATGCTTCCCTGTCTGGAGTGGCCCAAGAGTTCCCAGGGAGTGCCTATTAGAGGTGGTGTCTGGGATAAGGCAATGAGTTGGATGAAGAAAATTTGAAAAGGAATCTGTGTGATCCACTGGAGAAGGGGCAGAGAGGAAGGTGAGGCCTGAGAAAATGGTCTGCCGTGGAGCCAGGGATGGATCTGAGGGACTGGAATTGGAGGAGAGGAGGAATAAGTGAGGGTCTGTCTGCAGTTACCCTACCTGTTTCCCTGGTCAAAGTGCAATATCTCATACTTTCAAGCACACAATGTAGTTCAATTAAGATTTCTGTATGTTGTTGATATTTTGATATCTATTTATTCTCTCTGTGTGTATATGTGTGTGTGCATGCCTACCACATGAGTGCAGGAGTCTGCAGAAACCATAAAAGGGTGTTTGATCTCCTAGAATTGGAGGTACTAGTGGGTGGAGCTGATGCCTGACGCCTGAACCCAGGTCCTCTGCAAGAGCAGTAATCACTCTTAACCACTGAGTTACTTCTCTGGCCTGTTTTATAACCAAAATAAACTTATATGTGAAACTTCCCATTTCTACAAATATTATAAATTGCCACTTGAGTTAAACCATCATTAAAAGCCTTCATGTTGGCATAAATATTGGCAATAGGCAAGCTGTAAATCTTTGCAACTGCCTGGATGAAGAAGCTAGTGGAGAGAAAGGCACATGTCACACAAATCACCACATGACAGAGGCGGGAGCTTTAGAGAAAGAGAAAAGCCTGCAGTGCTGTTGAAACCATGCTTAGAACAGAAATAGGAAGAAGGAAAGGCTATCCTTTCTGAGCAATTCAGAAAAGCAGTTAGATTTCTAAAGTTGCATGGCTGTAGCCCTGTAAGGGACTGTGGCTGAGAGCAGGGAGTCGGGGAAGGAAAACCACACTATCTCTTATGGAGATAATTATTTGTATCTCTTTAACATGGCTTAATGTGATCTCACCTTCCTTGGGGGTAATTTCTGCCCGGTTTTCTCTCTGTTGCTGCAATAAACACCATGACTAAAAGCAACTTGAGGAGGAAAAGGTGTATACAGTCCAAGAAAAGAAAAGCTAAGACAAGAATCTGGAGGCAGGAACTAAAAGAGAGACCATAAGAGAAATCCTGCTTACACTCTTACTCAGCTTTCTCAGCCACTTTTCTTATACAGCTCACACCCATCTGCACAGAGATGGCATGGTCCACAGTGTGCTGACGTGTCTTACATCAATTAGCAATTAAAAAGATGCTCCACAGGACAGTTGATGGAGGCAATATCTCAACTGAAGTTCCTACCTGCCAGATGAGTCTAGCTTGTGTAAAGTTGACAAAAAACCCAGCTAGTATAGTCCCTTAGTTTGATCCTTGGTTTTCTGTCAACTTAACACAAGCCCAGGATATCTGGGGGGAGGGACATTATTGGATTGCCCTATAGGCAAGTCTGTGGGGCATTTTCTGGATTAATGATTTTGATGCGGGAGGACCTAGCCCATTGTGGGTGATGACACCCATAAGTGGTGGTCCTAAAGTATATAAAAAAGCAAACTAAACAAGCTATAATGAACAATCCAGCAAGCAGTATTCCTCTGTGGCTTCTGCTTCAGTTGCTGCCTCTAGGTTCTTGCCTTGAGTTCTTGCTTTGACTTCCCTCAGTGATGGACTTCTACCTGGAAGTATAAGGTGAAATAAACCCTTTCCTCTCTGAGTTGCTTTTGGTCATGGTCTCTATCACAGCAAAAGAAACACTAACTAAGATACTGATCCAGAAGACTCGCTGCCGGGTTCCGCCCAACCTGTCAAACAGTAACTGAATAGGGAAATGAGGATTAAGAAAAAACAGCATGGGTGGGCTTTTGGGAGCCCAGTGTCTAGGGTGTGATACCTTGCACAACCTTTGTGCAGCAGGGAGGGCCTTGGACCTGACCTGTCTCAGCTGAGTGTGCCAGGTTCTGCTGACTCCCCATGGGAGACCTTGATTTGGAAAATTTGGAGATGGGGGTGGGTTGAGGGGGAAGGCTGGGGTGGGAAGAGGGAAGAGGGGGTATCTGTGGTTGGTATGTAAAGTGAATAGAAAATTTCTTAATAAAATAAATGGTCTCTTTCCTTGTTCTCCTACTCTGTTCCCATTCCAGCTCAAACCTCCCACTCCCCTAGCTCTCATTCCCCCCATCCCTTGCCCCCTGTTACCCCCCCTCACCCCCAGTTTGCTCATGTAGATCTCATAC